CACGACCAAAAGTGGTGTGAGCTGTCTACGGCTAAAGCTAGTGGAAGCTCTAAAAAGCGGAAAGGTGTGGATATGGGGAGTTCTGCCAGCTCTAAAGCAACAGAACTCGAATCTGACGATGATGCAGGGACAACTCGTCCGATGGGAGTCAAGGCAGCAAAAGCGCGTGGTAAGAAGCCACAAGATGATGGAAAGGATCGGGCTGAGTTTGAGACCATGTGGACCGTGAAGAAAGCATATATGACTTTCAAAGAAAGGCTGGCTAAGCTTAAAGTACTAGAGAGTCTCGTTGCAAAACAGGGTCCTTTAGATGATTGTGATCAATCTCTGAAAAAGCTCCTCGTTAAGGAGTTATGGAAACCGTAGATTGTATGCTTGTGTTGTCTCGTGATGCTTGAAATAACCTTGTTTGCCACTGATGGTAGTTGTCTTTGTTTCTTTTAATCAACTTTGTTTCGTTTGTATGTGTATTTTAATCTAAGTGTGTTTTTAATCTAAGTGTGTTTTTAATCTAACTGTGTTTCGTTTGATGTGTTTTGTTTCTGTTAATCAACTGTGTTTGATGTCTTTGTTCCAGGATGATGAAGGTTGAATAGGGTAGTGGGTAAACTTATTATCATCAGAGCCACGTACCATGTTCCGTTTGCAACGAACAGAAAACGTGGCACTGATAGTAATTAGTGTTCCCACTTCCTTGTTAAGTTGGACCGTGATGAGCATGAAGAATAGCAAATTTTTACACAAGAATATTTTGTTGAGTTCTCTGAGGTTTTGAGAAGTAAGTAAAGCTCAGTGTGTGTTTTCTTACTTTCTTATTTACACGTTTTCTTGCAGGTGGATCACTGAACCATGACAGAAGAAGACATGTTGGGAGAGACAGAATAAAACCGTGACAGAAGAAGACAAGTTGTAACAACTTGTTGTGTAATAATGTGACAGAAGAAGACAAGTTGTAACAACTTTTTTTTTGTAATCAAATTGTAACAACTTGTTGTGTATATGTTTCACGTTTTGCTTAAATGTCTACCTTGTAACAACTTCCTTTGTTATATTAAATGTTTCACGTATCACATGTGTTGAACAAGATCATATATCTCTCTCAAATCTCTCTCTCAATTCTCTCAAACCAAGATCATATCTCTCAAAGATTTCTCTCCCAAACCAAACAAACCAAGATCATATCTCTCTCAGATTTCTCTCCCAAACCAAACAAACCAAGATCGTATCTTTCTCAAATCTCTCTCTCAAATTTCTCAAACCAAACAAACCTAGATCATATCTCTCTCAAATCAAACCTACATTATATGGCTTCTTCTTCTTCTCAAATCCCTTTAGACGAATCATTTGATGAAAGATTTGATGAAATCTTTGATCAAAAATTTGATCAAAAGTTTGATCAAGTTTTTCAAAGATTAACTATTCGTCATAATGAAGAAGAACGAAGGAAGAAAAAGAAACCAAGA